TCTGATTCAACACTGTGTTTACACCAAAGTCACGTTTTCCACCAACTGCTCCCAGCCAGTGACTAATACTAAATCAAACTAATTTCTGGAATCACAAGACTCTTCTGATGGCCAACCAGAACTCAAGGAAGGATTGATGACCTTGCGGCACCTTCCTCACACTGCTTGGCAGTCCACACACTCCTACCCAATCTTCCTCTCTTCTTTGCCTGGGGCAGACTTACATCACAGTAGCACAGTCTCATGGCTCTCTTAGCCTTTGCTAGATTCTCCCTATTTTCTGTCATCCAGATATTCGCTTCATAAAATCCTTCCACTTTTAATCTCATCTTCACATCTGATGCTTGAAGAGGCCAGACCAACATGCACATCCACAAGGCTCTGTGTGATCTTCTTCCTATCTTGCCCATCTTGTCTTTATTTCTCTCTTCCTTACAAATACTACTCTTTTGGCACTGCCCTGCATTTGTCCTTGTTTTTCCCAAGCCCTTTGTGCAAGCTGATCTCTGTCCTGGAATGCTCTACTCTTGACCCTCGAATGGTTTACTCCCTCTTTCATTCAGGTCTATGCTCAAATACCACACTACAGAGAGACATTTCTAGATCATTGTTTTAAAAGAATTCCCATCCTATCAGAATCCTTACCTACCCTGATTTACATTTCTTACAGCATTTATCACTAACTAAAACTTTGTTTTACATGTATATTTTGTCCAGTTGTCAATCATCTGTCTCCTCCTCCAGAATATAAGCTTCATAAAGGCAAATATACTCTTCTTGCCTGCTACTCCACTGCCTGGCCTACAGAAGTTCAATAAAATAAAATTAAGTTTGTGAAATCAGTGATTTAGAAGCTATATTCATGCAATGATAATTAACACACACATTAATTTCATAGCCTTTAGTAATCCATATTTGCCACTATCCAAAATATATATTCCTTGAGTTCATGCCCTTCGCAGGGACATGGATGAAGCTAACATTCTCCGCAAACTAACACAGGAACAAAAAAACCAAACACCACATGTTCTCACTTATAAGTGGGAGTTGAACAATGAGAACACACGGACACAGGTAGGCAAACATCACACACCAGGGCCTGTCATGGGGAGGGGATAAGGAGACAGAGAGCATTAGAACAAATACTTAATGCTTGCTGGGCTTAAAACCTAGATGACAGCAAACCACCATGTATACCTATGCACCAAACCTGCATGTTCTGCACATGTATCTCAGAACTTAAAGTAAAATTTTAAAAAATAAAATAAATAATTTTTACACCTATATTCCTTTTTTTTAATGTAGGAAAGGGCCATACCTTTATCTGTAATTTTGTATTTCCTCTTATACAAAACCATCAAAACAGGAATAAGGGATGAAAATCTGTTCAAACCCTATGTTCTCAGGAATATTCCAGAGAGCTTTTGAGGCTGTGTGTGGCTTCAAATCCAACATTAATTCTCACCCCCTGGCCTGAAGTCTTCACAGATTGGTGGCTTGAGCCCTGCAATTAATTATAATCCCTTGCCCACCTTGATGTAAGGCAGGAAAGCAGATTGAAACGCTCCACACTGATGGGCAAAGGGAATCACAGCCCATAGATGTACTACAACTTCTGTGTTACGGGAGCAGAACTTGAAGCTGCTTCCAAGGCTCTGGATAGACACTTGCCCACAGGGCTAGAGGCCAGTGGTATAGGAGCGACCTGTGGAGTTGTGAATAGTAGAACAGACTGCTACTGTCACAGTCCACTTATATCACACCTTCTTGGAATTGCTGCATCACCAGAAATGCACACAGATGGTCTGGCCTTCACACACCATTATGAGCTGCTTAAAAGGGAGAGGATGGGAAACCATGAGAACATCCTAAGAGAGTGAGTCTCTGGACAGACACAGTGATGTCCTGATAAAGCAGTCTCAAAGTAGCCTGCAAAGCCATGCAGTACTGTGTTCACCTCCACAGGAGACTCCAAGGTGCAATAGCTGTTGTTGTCAATCATAGGATCTCTGTTGGGATGGCTGAAGGTGGAACAGGGCTGGGATGCAGAGAGCTGGTGGAAGTTGTGCAGCCACACCACATAAGACATCACAAACTGGGCTACAGAGTCACGGTCCTTCTCCCTATGGGCTCGGACCTCATTGTACAACTTGGGGAGGAGATGGGAGCCAGGAAGGAAGTGTACTCCCCAAGGATGCTCATGCCATCATCTTTTAGGAAGTACTGGGCTCCAGTCAGGCACTCAGGGGATAATTCACTGTCAGCAAATGAGCGACAAAGCGAGTGGATCACAAGGTCAGGAGATCAAGACCATCCTGGCTAGCATGGTGAAACCCCACCTCTACTAAAAATACAAAAACTTAGCCGGGAATGGTGGCATGTACCTGTAGTCCCAGCTACTTGGGAGGCTGAGGCAGGAGAATAGCTTGAACCCAGGAGGTGGAGGTTGCAACAAGCTGAGATCGCACCACTGCACTCTAGCCTGGGCTACAGAGCGAGACTCCATCTCAAAAGAAAAAAAAAAAGTCTATATTCTTAAATTAAGTCTACCTTATTCCAGTTGTAGCACTATTATAATAATGTTCCATTTTAAAACTCTGTTCTTATACCCTAGTAATGCAACTTATAGATTATCACTGAGTGTGAAGAATTCTGATATCTGGTATCTGTCAACAAATATCTGGAAGTCCAATATCTTTGAAGGATGGGAATCTTCCATCTATCTGCTATAAAGCAACTACATTTGTACTTCTGAATGAATTGAGAATGCTGGAGAGGATAAAGGTAATACCTTTTGGATTGGTCCTTTGTTTTATAGAACATTGTTAATGAGAAGAAATATGCAAAAGCATTTTGTCAGGTTTGTCACTGAGCACCTACCCTATTGTTTTAGAATAGCTCTAATGTAAGTGAGGGCCTTTCAAAAAATACGTAGGTCTCAAATTTAACGTTGACTCTTTGGGGAAAGTAGGATCTCATTACAGTGACTCACCTTATGATGCACTTTTCAGAGAAGTGGTGAGGAAATGAGATATGTCTATACCTGTCTTATATTTCTTACAGGAATAGTATGAAACTTTAAAAATGTTGGCTATAAATGTATTTTTAAAAATTAAGTGATCTAAATGCAAAATATTATTTTAAAAATTCAGTTTGTACCCTGGAATATTCTTTTTATTTTAATTATACTTTAAGTTCAGGGTACATGTGCAGAATGTGCAGGTTTGTTACATAGGTGTACACATGCCATGGTGGTTTGCTGCATCCATCCCACCATCATCTACATTAGGTATTTCTCCTAATGGTAGCCCTCCCCAATGCCCCTACCCCCTGCTATACCTTCCCTACCTTTCCCCACCTTGTGATAGGCCCTGGTGTGTGATGTTCCCCTCCCTGTGTCCATGTGTTCTCATTGTTCAACACCCACTTATGACTGAAAACATGTGGTGTTTGGTTTTCTGTTCTTATGTCAATTTGCTGAGAATGATGGTTTCCAGCTTCATCCATGGCCTGCAAAGGACATGCACTGATCCTTTTTTATGGCTGCATAGTATTCCATGGTGTATATGTGCCACATTTTCTTTATCCAGTCTATCATTGATGGGCATTTGGATTAGTTCCAAGTCTTTACTATTGTAAACAGTGCCACAATAAACATATGTGTGCATGTGTCTTATAATTGAATGTTTTATAATCCTTTGGGTATATACTCATTAATGAAATTGATTGCTGAGTCAAACGGAATTTCTAGTTCTAGATCCTTGAGGAATTGTCACGCTGTCTTCCACAATGGTTGAACTAATTTATACTCCCACCAACAGTGTAAAAGCATTCCTGTTTCTCCACATCCTCCAGCATCTGTTGTCTCCTGATTTTTGATGATCACCATTCTAAGTGGCATGAGATGGTATCTCAATGTGGTTTTGATTTGCATTTTCTAATGACCAGTAATGGTGAGCTTTTTTTTATATATGTTTGTTAGCTGCATAAATGACTTCTTTTGAGAAGCATCTGTTCATATCCTTTGCCCACTTTTTGATGGGGTTTTTTTTTCTTGTAAATTTATTTAAGTTCTTTGTAGATTCTGGTTATTAGCCTTTTGTCAGATGGGTAGATTGTAAAAATTTTTTCCCATTCTGTTGGTTGCCAGTTCACTCTAATGATAGTTTCTTTTGCTGTGCAGAAGCTCTTAAGTTTAATTAGATCCTATTTGTCTATTTTGGCTTTTTTTGCCATTGCTTTTGGTGTTGTTTCTTAACTTTTTGGTTTTCTTTTATGGAGTCTTGCTCTGTCACCAGGCTGGAGTGCAGTTGCGCTCTCTCGGCTCACTGCAACCTCCACCTCCCAGTTCAAGTGATTCTCCTGCCTCAGCCTCCTGAGTAGCTGGGACTATAGGCATGCACCACCAAGCCCAATTAATTTTTGTATTTTTAGTAGAGACAGTGTTTCACCATCTCTAGGATGGTCTCAATCTCTTTACATTATGATCCACCCACCTCAGCCTCCCAAAGTTCTGGGATTACAGTCATAAGCAACTGCACCCAGTCCATACCCTGGAATATTCTATCCTAAGGTGGCCAGCATGCTATACATGGCTTTTAAAATTTGTGGGACCAAAGACTATACCTATGATATTTTTTTACATTATAAAATCCAAATAAGGAAAACAAAAAAACCATAATTTAACAATAAGTAATCTAGAGAGAGATAATGTAACCCCTAAAGAGATACTTATCTGACAGCCAGATCTGAAGATAGCCCACTAGTGAGGTAAGTCAGGTTGTGAGCAAAGAATGAGAGTGTTTCTGAAAAGGAATTGGGAGGGTATTCTGATCAGAGCTAGTGGAATATGTGAAGGCTTAGTGGGAAGAAAGAGTGAAACTTGCATGAAACTTGTCAAATATATTTTTCTGACTCAAAGAGCATTCAGGCTCAAGGGTGAGACTTACCTATATCAAATAATAAATATAAACAAGTAGCATTTCTTTTTTTTTTCTTTTAGGCACCAAGATTTTTATTTACCCACATTCTTGCTTTCTTTTAACATTATAAACATTATAGGCCAAATTATTATCTTTTTGATCGAGAGTTGTGATAGAAACCATCTAGTTAAAAAGTGGTGGCAGGTCTATGCCTGCTTTTATGTTTTTCCTGGCTCCTCTCAACCTCTGACTGTCACTTTTCTGTTCTTTCTCAGTTGCCCCTTAACAGTCTATTCTAACCCCTGTAAAACAGGGACTAAAAGTACTAACCTCATTGTTATGAGGTTTAAAAGAAGGCCCAGAACTAAGTCAGGTTCTGAGGAAAATTCAAACAGCAGTTCCTTTTTGCCCTTTAATATAGCTCCTTCTCATCTGCCATGTGCTGAGGAACCATTGAACCTGTAAACCAAGCACACAGGTCTAAGTCCGCAGACCAGGTGAAGGCCTAGATGGCAAAATACATGGGCTTTGTGACTCCACTACTGACTTCGAGGCTAAGGAAGGACTTACTTAGTAAGCAGTTCCAAGACCACTGAGCTCATGGCTCCCTGTGGCTGGTACCTCCATCATGACCAAGGCTTGAGAAGGGACCTCTCAGTTCTCACTGCCACCCCTGGAACCTTATGAGGGCTGCAGCAGAGACCAAACACTGAGTGACTGGCCCCAGAGAGTTATGGGGGACATTGACAAACCAGTCACAAAGTTGGTGCCATTTGTTCTTAGGGAGGAGAGGCAGGCCTGGGCAAGGACAGCAGCTGGAATGCAAAGCACAGACCTGGCTCTCAGTAGCGGTAGTGATCCGGCTTGAAGGGGCCGTTACAGGATATGCCCAGGTACTGGGCCTACTTCTCAGTCACCATGGTCGACTCCATGTTCAGCTTGCCCAGGTGGGCATCAGCCACTGCCTCATGCAGCTTTTTGGGCAGGAAGTGAACCCCAACAGGGTACTTGTCTGGGTGGGTCCTCAGCTTGATCTGTGCCATCACCTGGTTGGTGAAGTAGTTACTCATCACAAAGCTGAGGTGGCCCATGGCACAACCCAAGTTGACCAGCCGACCCTTAGCCAGCAGGATGATGTGGCGCCCATTCTTCAGCTGGTACTGGTCCACCTGCAGCTTGATGTTCACCTTCTCTACAGCGTTCTCGTTGAGCCACTTGACATAATCTCCAAGTCAAAGTGTCCAATGTTACACATGATGGCATCATCCTTCATCTGTTCAAAGTGCTGACCAAGGATGATGTCAACACAGCCTGTGGTGGTGACAAAGATATTGCCCTCCTGACAGGCCTCATCCACGGTGGTCACCTCATAGCCCTCCACGGCAGCCTACAGTGCATTGATGGGGTCAGTCTCGGTGATGATGACATGGGCCCCGAAACCCCGCAGGGCCTGGGCACAGCCCTTGCCCACATCACCATAGCCTGCTACCACCACCACCTTGCTGGCAATCATCACAGCTGTGGCCAGCTTGATGCCATCTATGAGGGACTCCCGGCAGAGGAGGTTGTCAAACTTGCTCTTGGTGACGGAATTGTTGACATTGATGGCAGGCACCTTCAGGATCCCACTGGCCTTCATCTTGTAGAGGTTGTGGACCCTGGTCGTGGTCTCCTCAGAGCTGCCGCAGATGCCAGGCAGGAGCTGTGGGTACTTGGTATGCATGAGGTTGGTGAGGTCGACCCCGTCATCCAGAATTATGTTGAGGGGCCCATCCTTGAAGTACAGCATCTGCTCAGTGCACCACAGGTACACCTCGTCGGTTTCACCCTTCCAGGCATACACTGGAATGCCAGCATTGGCAATGGCAGCCGCTGCATGGTCCTAGGTGGAGAAGATGTTGCAGCTGGACCACGGCACCTCAGCACCCAGGGCGACAAGGATCTCAATGAAGACAGCTGTCTCCATGGTCATGTGCAAGCAGCCGGCAATGTGGGTGCCCTTCAGTGGCTTGGAGGCCAAGTACTGCTCATGCAAGCGCATCAGGCCCAGCATCTCGTTCTCCACAATATCCAGGGCCTTGCACCCTCAGGCAGCCAGGCCAATATCAGCGACTTTGTATGGCAGTTTGTCAGACATGCTGGTGGCACTGGTGATGGGCACAGGCGAAGGGGGCTGGGCCTCAGTCAGGGAACAGGCACTGACCAGGCCATGCCCTACAGGGAAACAAGTAGAATCTCAACTTGCAATGCTGATGGAGAGAGGAGACCACCAGACATTTCAGTTTAATGCAGTTCAGGGTAAAAAAAAGTGAATATCTTTGCAAGGTTCTGGAATGGGGTATAGAAACAAGCAAGCCATTACAGTCTACAGTCTGAATGCTAGTGTCTCCCCAGAATTCATATGTTGAAATTCTAACCCAAAGTGATGGTATTAGAAGAGTGGCATTTTGGGAGGTGATTAGGTCATGAGAGTGGACTGCTCATGAATGGAATTAGCATCCTTATAATAGAGGCCCAAGGTAGCTTGGCTGTCCCCTCCACCATGTGAAGACAGAGAGAAGGCACCATCTGTGAACCAGGAACCAAATGCCCCACCAGCCACCAAATCTGCCGGTGCCTTCATCATGAACTTCCCAGCCTCTAGAACTATGAAAAATAAATTTCTGTTTTTACAAGCCACCTAGTTTATGGTACTTCGTGAGAGCAATCTGAAAGGACTAAGAAGCTAGCAACACAGTGGCTCTGTGAATTCTGGAACCAGCTTTGAGTAAAGATGGAAAAAGGGAATGGGAATTGAATCTTTCATGTGAACTCTCAAGTTAGTCCCTACAAGGTATTAAGGATAAAGAAAATAAATATTCTGGAGAAACACTACCACCGTCGGAACTTAAAAAAAAAAATAAAAAAAGAATGCCTCCAATGAATAAAGCAGGTTACGTCTCAAAATAAAAGCGTTTAGAGTTTTGTTTAAAACCATGTCTAAAATTTTAGAATCTTCAAGGCATGATACTTTTTCAGTATCTTCAAGGCATTATTTTTTTAAGTCTCATGCAGACAGAAATTACAAACTATAGCATGAGTAAACCTTACCTGTAGTGACTAACATAAATATAGTATCACTAAAATGGTGAGTAAGGACACATAACCACATCCTCAAGACTCACCCATATCAGTATTTCCTAATGTGATTTAACTGCAGTGTAGAATGCCTTAGGACTTACAAAATGTTGATGAAACACAAACCTAGAAGATAATATGCACACTTGATTAAGAGAGAGCAAAAAATAAATGCGTCGGGAAAATATCAAAATTGAATTCCTAGTTTGAGAAGAAATAAACATTGAATATAATCACAAATAAATTAAGTAGAAAAATGTTCTTATGTTTTAGAGATACATAATGAAGTACTTAGGGGTGAATGTGATAATGTCTATAACTGTTACAGTACCTCCACAGAAATATATACCTTCATGAAGCATGTAAAGCAAACTGTGAACATTTTTTAATTCTTTCAAGCCCAAAGAGCAATGCACAAGACAGCCAGTTGGAACAAAGCTACAGAGCACAGAGTATAGCAGTACAAAATTGTCTGAAAAATGTCATTTCAAGCCATAGAGAACAAGTGTAGATTAAATTATTAAGGGCTGAATTATGTCCTTCAAAAAGTATATATTTGATTCCTAACCCCCAGTACCCCAGAGTGTGACCAACCATACTTGGAAATAGGGCCTTTAAAGGGGTAAGTGAGGTAAAATGAGGCCATAAATGGGCCCTCTCCAATATGACTGTGTCCTTCAAAGAAGAGGAGGTTAGGACACAGACACTCAAAGGATGGACCTTCATGCTCACAGAGAAGAGACCATGTGAGGACACAGGAAGAAGACAACCATCTGCAAGCCATGGAGAAAGATCTCAGAAGAAACCAAACTTGCTGACACCTTGGTCTTGGACTTCCAGCCTTCAGAACTGTGAGACAATCAATTTCTGTTATTTAAGCCACCTAGTCTTTGGTATTTTGTTACAGCAGCCTTAGCATACTAATACAGACATCCTCCCAAATATATTCAGTCAGAAAGCTGTAGATAAACATCCTTGAGAAAGCATCTAATCTATCCACCATTCTTTAAGCAAGGCTACCTCACAGTCTTCCAACTGAAGGATAAAAAAGAATACCTGAAAAGAATACTGGGTGCCCATGGAAGATGGCTGGATTGCCACAGATGGTACAGTAAGAACAGAATTCTGAAATCTTGACTCAAAATTCTCTATAGCACAAAACCCATCTATTCCAGAACTGTAGTCTTAAAGGCTTGGTTGACAAATAATGATGAAAAAAAATTGTAAGTCTTTCCTATAGAACACACTCTGCATTAGCCATTATTTAAACTTACATTACTTAAAATTACATTAAGAGCTGAAAGTGTCAATTGTTGCTTTTCTAAAATTAAAAAAAAATTTTTTATTGTTTGAGACAGAGTCTTGCTCTTTCAGCCAGGCTTGAGTGAAGTGGTGCAATCATGGCTCACTGCAGCCTCAAACACCTAAGCTTAAGCAAAGCTTCCTCCTCAGCCTCCCCACTAGCTGGAACCACATGTGCATGCCACCACACCCAGCTAATTTTTTCAATTTTTTTTTTTTTAGACGGAGTTTCACTCTTGTTACCCAGGCTGGAGTGCAATGGTGCGATCTCGGCTCACCGCAACCTCCACCTCCTGGGTTCAGGCAATTCTCCTGCCTCAGTCTCCTAAGTAGCTGGGATTACTAGGCACACACCACCACGCCCAGCTAATTTTTTGTATTTTTAGTAGAGACGGGGTTTCACCATGTTGACCAGGATGGTCTTGATCTCTTGACCTTGTGATCCACTCGCCTTAGCCTCCCAAAGTGCTGGGATTACAGGCTTGAGCCACCGCGCCTGGCCTTTTTTCAATTTTTTATAGAGACAGGGTCTCTCTATGTTTTCCAGGCTAGTCTCCAACTACTGGGCTCCCAAAGTTCTGGGATTACAGGCACAAGCCACCATGCCTGGCAATTAATTGCTTTTTAAACTCAAAATTTAGCTAAGGTAATGGAAAACCTTCAAATTTTAAAAATATAAATTAGAAATTAGGAAAAAAAAACACTGCTTCAAACTTTACCTCACAACTTTACTGCTTTCTTTTTCACCTCCATATAAAAATATAATTAGAATCGCGTCCTAAGACAGTTTCTTTTCCAGAAGTTACCAAGAAGTCTTGAAAAAGCCTAATATAGCACATGCTAACAATAGATGGTGTTGATTTTTCTTCCACAAATAGAAAAACTAAAAATAGAATTACCATATGACCTAGCAATCTCTACGTCTAGGTATTTACCCAAAGATTTGAAATCAGTTTGTCAAAGAGATGTCTGCATTCTCATGTTCATTGCAGCACTATTCACAATAGCCAAATAATGGAATCAATCAAAGGGTCCATCAACACATAAATGAATAAAGAAGATGTGGTATATAAGCCTAAAGAAATATTATTCAACTTTTACAAATAAAATAGCCAGGCACGGTGGCTCACATCTGTAATCCCAGCACTTTGGTAGGCTGAGACAGGCAGATCGCTTGAGGTCAGGAGTTCCAGACCAGCCCAGCCAACGTGGTGAAAACCCATCTCTACTAAAAGTTACAAAAATTTTTCAAGCATGGTGGTGAGCACTTGTAATCCCAGTTACTCGGGAGGCCAAGGCACGAGAATCACTTGAACCTGGGAGGCAGAGGCTGCAGTGAGCCAAGATCAGGCCACTGTACTCCAGCCTGGACGACAGAGCAAGACTCTGTCTCAGTAAAAAAAGAAAAAAAGAAATTTTATCATTTGCAACAATATGGATGGAATGAGAACATTATGCTAAGTGAAATAAGCCAGGCACAGAAGAAAAGTACTTAACATATGTGGAGTCTAAAACAATCAAAGCAGAGAGTAGAATGGTGATTACAGAGGCTAGGGGACAGGGGAAATGGAATGACAATAGTCAATTTGTACAAAATCTTAGTTAAATAGGAGGAATCTGGAGATTTTTTGAGTTCTTTTGAACAGCATGGTGAATATAGTTAATAATAGAGTATTGTATATTTCAAAATTGCTAACAGACTACATTTCAAATGTTCTCACCATAAAAATGTTAAGTATTTGAGGTGATAGATATGCTAACTAGCTTGATTTTTTTCTTTCACATTGCATTCATAAATGATAATATCACTTTGTATCCCATAAATTTGTACAACTATAATTGTCCATTTGTTATGCAATAAAATAAACAAATTTAGCAAAGAGAGTTATTCTCACTGCTAAGCAATGTTTATGCATGTCTTTTACACTGTTTTTAATTACTAAGTTGTTTTGAATGTGTGTTAAGAAGTAGAATTTGCCTAAAGGCAAGGCTTGCTACCTTAGAACAATACCCCTTATCCCCCTCCATGGTCTGTCCTCACTCTTCATGACCTTTGCCCTCTCCTGGCCACCCATTCATTCCTGAGACTCTACTCTTTATTAGTGTCCCAGACCCTGCTCTTCCCTGACTCTCTCCCTGACATTTCTGTCTCTTTTTATAAGCTTCCAATCATTGCTTATCCTAACTGTACGCCTTTTATGAGATTTGTCCTGGTCTCTTTGACCTTTTCTTGTTCAGATTTAATTTATCCAACTCATGGCTACAGTTACTAATTACGACACTCTCATATTTCAAACCTGAAGTCCTCACCTGGACCAGGGTCTACAGTGCCATATGCCATTAGGTATCAGCCACCTCCACTCTAATGTTTTCAAACTGCTTCAAAATTGAACTTTTCTCCTTCCCACATAAACCCCTTTTGCACTCCTTCCAAATCTGGCTTCCTTTCAAACTTCCTTTGCTGTCAATTTTTCTTACCCAGCCTTTTTTTTACATATTCTCTAAGGAAAAATAGAGAATTGTGCTATCACAGCAGAGTACAGTAGTTTTGACAAAGACTAGATTATATACAGACAAAAATACTTACTGGACAGTCCTTTACAGAAAATATTTTCTCACCTCCTATCTAGCAGACAACTCTATGCTAACACTTACTAATTGGTTTTTAAGTAGTTTACACATCTTTCCCCCATTAGAATCTATGCTTCTTTAGAATAGGGTCAAGTCTTACTCTTCTTTTTTATATTTGTATACCTACCACAGCACCTAGTACACAGTATTTACTCAAGGAATTTTGAACTATTTTGAACTTACTGTAGGAAATTTTTGAGTCATCTTTTGACTCTTCTTGCTATACCCTCTAGATTTGATCTGCCCCCCCCCAAAAAATTAATTGTTGCATTAGATCACTTGCAAAAATAGCTGCAATAATTCCCTCTCTCTTTCTGTGTCCTTGGTTAGTGCCCTCCAATACTGTCTTTGGACTTGAACACGTTGCTTGCTTTGGCCAATGGAATAATGGTAAATATGATGCAAGCAGACATTAGAAGGGTACGTGAACACTGGAGCTTGCCCTCCCTTGCTGCCTGTGGAACTCTGATGTTACCAGGTGAATGAGCCAAGCTAGCCCACTGGATGATGAAAGATACATGGCCCAGTTACTCCTCTACTCTAGCCAAAAGCCAGAGAGATGAGTGAAGCTATCAAATGCTAGCTGATTGCAGACACATAAGGAAACCCCATTGTAGGAATGAGCCCAGCCAAGACCAGCAAAAAACCACCAGCTGAGCCTAGCCCAAATCATTCACCCATAAAACTATGAGCTAATAAACCATTGTTATTTTAAGCCAATATTTTTTGGGAGTGGGGTTTGTTATACAGCATAAAGTAGCTACTACATTGATCTTCTTTATTTTAAATGTCTTTAGGATTTGCACCTTAAACTTTACCCCATACCACCAAAGCAGTATGCATCATCACATTATCCTCCACCTTCATGCTCCATACTAGAATAACTCACCAACTTGTCTTTTTACCTCTAATTTCTGTTTAGGTATGTAAGACACTTCTGCCAAATTAATCTCCTAAAACTTTTCTTTCACCACATCCTAGTCAATGATAAGCAATGGCATTTTATTTTCTAAATATAAAGTCAATTTTATACCCTAAATACCTATTTTTATATTTAAAACATTTACTTTGATCTTAAAACCATTATAAGAGAACTGCCATGAGAAATAAACCATAAAACTACAAATCATGAAAATGCTTTTAGTTAATTTAATCTTACAATTTCCTCTTACATGTGAGGAAACTGAGATTCAAAAAGTCAAAGGAACTTGCCAGAGATTACACAGCTACTTAACAATAGGGAATGAACTAGAATTTGAATTCCCTAATTTTCTTTCTTTTTTTTGAGATGGAGTTTCGCTCTTGTTACCCAAGCTGGAGTGCAATGGCACGATCTCGGCTCACCACAACCTCCGCCTCCTGGGTTCAGGCAATCCTCCTGCCTCAGCCTCCTGAGTAGCTGGGATTACAAGCACACGCCACCGTGCGCAGCTAATTTTTTGTATTTTTAATAGAGATGGGGTTTCACCAGGTTGACCAGGATGGTCTCGATCTCTTGACCTCATGATCCACCCGCCTTGGCCTCCCAAAGCCCTAATTTTCATTCTAGTTCTCTTTTAATTGTGATATGCTATAAAAACCTATTTAAAATTTTTTTTGTATTGAATGGACTTTTTCATTAGAAGACTAGATTCGCCATTACTTTAAAAGTTAAAGTCACAGACAGTGTTTATTTGTAATAGGGGCTTCTCATCATGATGGCTTCTTTTCCTTTACCCACAAAGTTTTGTTCTCATTCTCACCTCCAAATCCTGTCAGCTGTCACCTCATATTTAAAGCTTACCATTTTCTAAGGTGAATCCATCATCCCTTCTTTGAAGAGAGCAACTGCCACTCGTAACTATCAATCCCAGAGAGTAACCTACACATAATATACGAACTTACCTCTGCATATTCTTTCAGAGTAAAGTTGTTCATTACAGCCCTGCTTATAAAAGGAAAAAACTGTAAAGCACCTAAACATCAATGAGCAGAGGATAGATTAGGCAAATTATGGCAAATCTATAATGCAAAGTAGTTTAATAGAATTATGTATCTGTGGAATAAAAAAAATTTCTAAAATATATAGTTATATAGAAAAGCAGGGCACGGTGGCTCACGCCTATAATCCCAGTCCTTTGGGAGGCTGAGACAGGTGGATCGCAAGGTCAAGAGATCGAGACCATCCTGGTCAACATGGTGAAACTCCGTCTCTACTAAAAATACAAAAATTAGCTGGGCATGGTGGTGCACGCCTATAGTCCCAGCTACTTGGGAGGCTGAGGCAGGAGAATTGCTTGAACCCAGAAGGTGGAGGTTCC